CAAAGAGGTGGCCTGTGGACTTCTGCAGCATGCAGGTCTTTATGTAGGGGTCGTCAAGCATGTTTAGAATAAGGACTTTTGGGGCATGTCCTAATCTACTTGTATAGGAACTGTAAGGAGATCTTGATTGCTGCCCCGTAATAGCCAGGGCACGTGTTCGGTATCCCAGAGGCGAAGGAGCCTGCAGGGCCAATGCTGTCATCTCACACCAGCCCAAGCGATGCTAAGGGCTCAAGACGCAAAGCCGTCCCTGCAATGCAAACCTCCAAATCTTGCAACAACACCGGCCAGTGTGGTAATGTTGTTCTGATCTAGCCGTTCTGGAGTACCCAGGAGGCTCCCAGAAGTCCCTTTAAGCCAAGCTTATGTCCGCATGTGAAGAAGCTCTCAAGGCATCCCGCCCCTGTGTGATGACAGAAAGCTTGACGTCATCCGAAGCAGGAACAACTCTCAGATGTCCAAGAACCCGAATCTGCAAACCAAACAGCATGCATGCATGCATGCATGCATGCATGCATGCATGCATGCATGCATGCATGCATGCATGCATGCATGCATGCAATGATTGTATGAAGGGACCTAGAAATCGCTTCCTATCACATATGCGAGTGGCAGCATAGACGTCCACAGGCTCAGCACCCTCTCGCCGGCGCCACCGGGAAAGGAGGCCCCTTGGGGTAGGCTTTCAGGGCTTAGGGTTTGGGGATTTTCGGATTTTCAGCATATGGGGAACTCTTATCAGGCTTTGCACGCGAGGGTCATGTTGAATTTTCCGGCCTTTAGACTGGACCACGCGCAAGTTTGGGAGATTGACCGTTGGGAGGTCTCTCTGGGCTTCGGGCTGACTCTATGCAACACGAAGGGATGCGTTCCTTGGAGTTAGGCGTGTAAGACATTTTGCGATCTTCCGACTTGCCCTTTCCAAGCCGGCTACATTGCCTCTTTTATTCAGGTACGGGTTTGGCGCTTAAGGGCGACATGTTAAAGGGTTTCTTGCCATGGAAGGATTTTTGCCGAATCATGTTCCCGAAATTCTCAGGCTTCTTTTTTGGCGATGCGGGTGTAGGGGCTGGGCTGTAGGGACCTTCGCAATTAGATTCGAAAAGAAGGACATGCTCATTCTTCAGACCCCTGTGTTGCCCAGGATCTAAAGGAGTCTTGAAATTGAGGATACCGTGTTTGAGCGTGAGGGTTCTGATGAGGAGGAATGTACCTCTTAAGGTCTATAGAGAAGCTCAAACTACGGTGGCTTAGGGTGTACGTGGGGTTTAGGGTGATAGAGTCAAGCATCTCAGGGTTTGGGCTTTAGGGCTTTCGGCTTTAAGTTGCTCGGTTTGGGGGCATAGATGCCCGAGAAGCTTGAAGTCGAAAGGGTCGGTTACTCACTCAGCTACTTTGTCGACACCAAACTTCAGACAGCCAAGGGGCACAGAAGGGTGGCTTTGCTGAAAATCCTGGATCGGAGAGGGAGGCTATTTGATATCATTAAAACCAACGAATATTCAAGATGTGCCTTTAGCACCAACAACTTGAGTGTTTGGGATTGGGCTCAACAAGAGTTTGAAGCTTAAAAGCCCGCGCAGATACTGATGAGGCGATATGAGTACAAAGCTTGGGCATCTAGGGAACGCAGCAGCATATTTTTACGGAAGGGTGCGTGCAAGAAGCCATAAAATTCGAACCCCGAATCCTAAACCCACCTAAATTCGTAAATCTTAGGCATGTTGGCAGACATGCTTCCAAATGATTGTTGAGCTCGGGGTATTGCTGCCACAAACTCCGCAAAGCTGCAAAGGTAGAACATTTAGTTGTAATCATTATCTTAGATGCAACTTTCAACTTTTCAGCAAAATGACTTAGTTGTAGATTTTTTGGCTCCGGAAGCAGCGAATCTCTGCAGAAGGTTGCAAAACAGGCATCTTAGTCATAACATGTTTAGGTGTCTTGCCACTAACTTTTTATGGTGTATTAATTTTTCTTTTTAAGGTTTTGTCTTCGGTCAAGGGAATTCACTCCAAAGGTTGTCGTCTTCGGAGATAGGTTCTTGCTGGATTCACTCTCTGGGGTTTGCGTCTTGGGGTAAAGTTTGCTGCTGGATTCACTCTTCACGGTATTTGTCTTCGGTTACGGGTTCCTTTGGCATTCACTCCTTAGGGTTTTCGCCTTCGGGAAAAGGCTCCTGCTGGATTCACTTCTTCGGGTTTTCGTCTTGAGAATTCACTATTTAGGGTTGTCGTCTTGGGTACTCACTCCGTAGGGTTTTGGTCTTGGGTTGACGTATCTTGCTGGATCCACTCCTTAGGGTTTTCGTCTTCGGTCAAGGGGGTTCCTGCTGGATTCGCTCCGTAGAGTTTTCGTCTTCGAAAGATTCCTTCTGGATTTACTCCTTAGGGTTTTCGTTTTGGGTATTCACTCCGTAGGTTTTTTTTTTCGTCTTGGGTTGAAGTTGCCTGCTGGATTCACTCCTTAGGGTTTTTGTCTTCGGGAAAAGGATCCTGCTGGATTCACTCCTTAGGGTGGTTGTCATCAGAAAAAGGTTCTTGTTGGACTTAGTCTTTAGGGTTTTCGCCTCGGGAAATCACTCCTTAGGATTGTCGTCTTGGGTAGTCACTCCTTCGGGTTTTCGTCTTGGGTTAAAAGATCCCGCTGGATCCACTCCTTAGGGTTTTTTTCCGTAAAGGGATTGCCGAAGCAACTGTATTATCACTGGTACCTGTGGCTTCTGCATGTCGGCTTAAGCTTAAGGCTTAAGGCCCATTAGGCACGGGATAGACAACATCCCACTGTGGTTGTCAAATGTCAAGGCTGCTAAGGCCTGATGAGATAGATACGTATTTGTAAGTGAGCATAGCAGCTTGATGTAAGGCTGTTGAACGGCCTCAGGTAGGGGCCTGGCGAGTGGGGAAGTTGCAGTAACAGCCACCTCGAAGCAGGAGAGTCTTCTGGTTTGGGCCTCAAGCCACGCGCGCGTGATTGCCTGAATGAGCTCGTTCCCTCCTCTTGCGCAAAGGCTGACTGCTGGGTTGGTTGGGGCTAGGGGGTGGGGTAGTGGGGGTACGTGGGGTCAGTAGGGAAAAGGAAGAAGTTACATCTAAGACAAAAAAGTTACAACTGAGCCTGCTACCAGCGGTAAACCCTAAACACATATCCAAAACTCGGAATCCTGATCCCGAGCTACTAAACCTTGAATCCCATACCAAGTAGATGGGGTGCATTCCTTGTGTTCGTAACTTGAACAGCTAAGTTCCTTGACAAGAACCCGGTAAAAATCAGACACTCCTCCGCAGCTTGGTAGGGATAGTTGTCCCTCTCGGCTTGGCAGCGGCAGCCCCAAAGGTGACAGCCGAGGGGTGTGCTCGAGGCCCTGGATGTAATTGGGGGGTTTCCGAAAATTAGGGGGCCCTAATATAGTACCCTAAATAGTAGGATCCTTATTACAAGGACCCCAAAATCAGGTACACCCTTATTTTCGGAAACTCCCGTTTGTCTGAGCGGAGTTCGACGCTCAGGGTCGATTGTTCACCCCAACCAGGAACCCCGAAAAGCCCCCTTCTAACAGCACGGTCGTCTACAATGGGCCCCATGCAAGTTCGATGCCGGTTGCAGGGAAGATACGCAGTTTACATCTTTGTGGCGATCATCTTTGAAGACCTCACAGCAGCAACAATGGTACTAGAACATGTCATTGCTGTTTTGTAAACTGCATTGGGATTCGGGTTCGGGGTTTGGGGCATGAAGGAAGGTGACAAGAATGGACATGGCCCCCTTGTCCGTCTGTAAGGGTCTTAGGGTTTCGGGGGGTGCTTTGAGCAATGTGATACTTTCTGAAGCACGAGCCGAGCAACAGATCTCGCCAGACTTGAGGACGAAAGTCATGCATTCTCACCTTAAGCCTTCTTCGTTACGCTCGCACAGGAAATTCAGCCCAAGACTGTGTCCAATCTCCCAGAAATCTGAAATGCCACTCTGCCTCGCTTGAAGACGGTCGATGCGTCGGCCGCGTGGAACGGCCCTCCAGGTTAAAGGTCCAGTGGCCGGGCTGAACGGCTAAACTGAATCTAACATGAACACACGCAATTGCACAAGACATGAGGTAAGCAGTCTCCGCTGACCCTTAGATGTTGAGGTCCACTGGCCCAGCGTTTGAACTTGACAAGTTGGGGAACTGTAGCCACAACAACACGATCAGGTGCTTTGTGCGACAGCAGCTGCCAGTAATGCCATCAACTGGAAAAGCCGACTACTCTGGGGAGGAGGCGGAGGACGAGGAGCAGCACAGCAGCAGCACCGTGGCAGTAGCGTAGCAGCAGCAGTAGCGGAGGCACGGGCCGTGCAAGTAGCAGCAGCAGCACTAGTAGTAGTAGTAGCAGTAGTAGTAACATTAGTAGAAGTATGTAGTATGTAGTATGTAGTACGTAATAAGTAATAGCTAGTGAGTATGTAGTAAGTAGCCCGTTGTCGTAGCAGTAAACGTTGTAGTAGCAACAGCAGCAGTATCCGTAGCATGCCGCGGATCCTGCTGCTACAGCCGTTGCTGGCTGTTGTTGCTGCCATGGCTGGCTGCTGTTGCCGTCGTTGCTGGTTGCTCCGATTCCGGTTGCTGCGGCTGCGGCTTCCTTGGTTTGGTTGTTGTTGTTGTCGTCGTTGTTGGTGGTGGTGCTGCTGCTGTTGCGGTTGCGGTTGATATTGGTGTTCTCGTTGCCGTTGCTGTTGCTGTCTCCGCCGTCGTCGTTGCTGTGATTGAACGGACGATGTTTTTGTGCTTCTTCCAAGCTCCGCCTGTATCCACTTCTCGTGTTGTCGCTCACTTTAGGGTGCTGTATCTTAGCTTTTTGAACAATAAGACCATGTTCAGATCGTTGCTGCCCGGCAAGTGAACATCCTCAACCCGAAACCTTATAACTCATTCGCATTCCTCTTAACCCGGCGAAGACCCCGCTACTGGTAACACAACACAAACACAAGCCTTAAACAGTAAACCCGAAAAGGGACCACATAGTCTAAAACATCGCGACTCCTGCATTCAAAAGCGATCGAAGCCTGGATGCTCTTCCCCTCACACTACTTCTGCTTGATGGCTTGACCATGATTGCTGTCGTTCGTCTCGGATGCCCATTCGACGGCGGTAAGGTAGCAGCTTTGTTCTCAAAGTCTTCGTCATCTTCGTCTTCGTCTCGAATCACTCTAGTCAGGTCAAGCCTGAGCCCATCTTGAGATACTGTATGCAGAACTCTCAAGCATGTCGCCAGTTTGTGGCCGGCGCTTCGGAATGCTCGGCATGCCTTCAGCAAGGCGTCGTTCTGGAGACTACACCCCTAATTGCTGGTGCAAGGCAGACTCTTGTCCGGGAATGTTGAACCGAGCCTTTTCGCATTTGCTGCTTTCCCGACGGTTGTGCCTCAAGGCAAGAACAGTGCTGCCTGCAAGCTGAGCCCTCATCAAGTCAGTCCTGCCTCGGAACCATGTTGGAGGTCGAAACCAAATAGTGCAGCAATTGCGGTGGGGCTGATATCGACACTGTCCCTGCAGCAGACCAGCAGAGCATGGCATGTGAGGGGCCAGCTTCTCCGTCAATCTGGCTAGAAACCCAAGAACTGACCGGAACCTGTGGGGCAAGGTCTTGGTGAAGCTTGCCTCGGAGATTCATCAGGAACATCAGGACATGACATAGGACATGCACACACGCATGTCAGAGCATTTTGTTCAGGCCTCCTTAGAGAGCTGCTGCAGCACCTTTACTGCCCAACTGTGGACGTGGCCAATCGCCTGCAGCAGTTTGGCGGAAGTTGCAAGGTCGGAACATTGACGTTCGGCTGCAATCCGCTGCACCTCTGGGTCGCTCTGCTGCCTCGCGCATGTCACATAGCAGTGTCGTATATAACGCGTTCAGGGCTTCAAGCAGCCGATATCAACCCTTGCCGAGCCACGCTTCCGAGACGGCTGTTTCTGGCGGTGTCTCCTTCGTGGGTGAGACTAGGTGAGTAGGTCAGATGCCCTTTCTATTTTGTGGGCGCAGGTTCGGTGACCTGGCCGACCGAGGGAGACGGCAGCGGAGTTGTCTCCTTTCAAGCAAGGCATCGGCTTAAGGAGGCAAGTCTTTTCGCTACTGTGCCACCGAACGGCCGGGGACGCGAGTTGACTTCCGGGAAGAACCCGCATGACCTGATCATTGCTATGTTCCTATGCCATGCGTGAATGGAGTTCTCGAGATTCACCGGCAAACGAGACCGGGAGGCCTCCGACGTCCACGTGCCTGGTAGAGGTCTGAATTTCGAGTGACATGCTGCGGCATGCGAATCTCCGGCCGGCCTGTCGTCGGCGGATCCCTGGCAGTGCACATGTCTTGCATCTCTGACAATACAAGCAACGTCAACTGACAGTAACATGGTCCATGCAGTAGGATTGTCGAACATTTCAGCCGCGGCACTCGCTCATCGCCGAGGTGGCATCCGATTGGCATTTTGCCTCGTCGGCAAGAACTGCAGTCGCACTACACGTACCTTGACTTCCTTCAAGCCCGCGTGGGTAGCGGGCCTCTGCCAGTCCAGAATCAATGATGGAGCGGGCCAGACGGTTTGCAACATAAAACGAAGTCATGGACCTCAGCACACACTGATCCTCCATGCCAGTGGAAAGATGCGCAATCCGGAGCCCTGCAGGGAACCCGGCTCGGCTGTGACACACCGGGAGCCTCCATTCAAGCTGCTCGTAGCCATGATCTTCATGCTACAAATAAATTTGGGTTAAATGGGTTAAATGGGCCTGGCTGTCCGAAGAAGGTGCTTCTCTCCTCCGCGTTGCAATTTCAAACGCAAACAGGTCGGAGGACGCACTCGGCTGAGGCACATGCTCTCAATGCCGGCTCGGAGCCGTGTCTTGAAGGATGCAAGCCAGACAGACCTAATGTTGAGGAAACTATGCACTATTGTACACTGGTTACAGTCTCTGGTCGCCACTCATGGAATGAATTCGGCAAATGCGCCTCCCTGTTTCATCCCTCTTGCAGCTCCGGCGACCTCGATGCAGCATACACTGCGGGCTTGCTTCTGTTTGCGGCACAACTCGATCCAGTTCAAGAAGCAGGCTGTGCGCGGTGGACATTGCTGGAGATGCTCATGCAGGGTTACAGCCTCGTCTTGCCGGAGTTGGGTTCGCATTCAGCTGTTTCTATCACTACACTCCACACGCTCAGAGCTTGCAGAGAGCCTTCCGTCAGGCGTGTAACAGGCTGTGCAACAAGCAACCACCCACGCCTGCTGTGTTGGAGCACTGCGTGCTCTGGCAGCCACCGCCGAGGACCCACCATCCTTCCGATCGAAAAAACAGCAAGCCCTTGCAGGCCAGGCTTACATCGCGGACGCATGCTGACGCCTTCTCATCCATGCTCAAGGTCATGCTCTTGCCATTCACCCATGCCGTCCAATCTCTCGCCTTCTTGAGATGTTTTGTGGGCCACTAGTAAGCACGTGAAGCCGCATTAAGATGAGTTCTCATGCTGCTGCTTCCGCTGGAAAAAAACCTTTTGAAGTTCAGGGCCTGAATGGCTGTGAGAATCGCTGCTGCCGTCCGTGCATCGTGTGACAGGGCGAAATGCGAGTTGCTACAGCAACAGCTACCTCGTGCCACAGTCAAGCCAGCAAAGGTGCGGGGTACTGACTGGCAGTGCCGCAGGAGATTCTCCGGCGAAGACAGCTCGCAGAAGATGGTGATGCCACCCCTCTCCTGAAAAGTGCCATGGGTATATCTGTTTGCGCCTTCTCGAACAGAGCTGAAGGGTTTTCGGTTTACTAATTTACTGGCTGGGCTTGGTGCCGCGGCCTGCAAACGGCAAATGTCTGCAAGTGGAGGCAAATTGGAAGCAAGGTTGTTAGTTGTTACAGCGTCGCTCGCCCGCCGTTCGCGTGCTTTCGGGCTGCTGTGCAGCTTGCAATCTTGGGCAGGGGGGCCGGTTGGCCTCATAAAACGGCCGCACGTAGCCAACACTCAGAGGTGTGAGCAAGCTAGGCCAGTAGCTCTGTAGATTGATGCCCTGCCCGGTTTCCAAGAAAATGGTGCACACTGTCTTCTACATGCGAGGCTAGTTAGGTCTCCAACTATCTGCCCCGCCGTCTTGCGCTCCATGGTTACATGTTGAAACTGCGATTCTGGTGGTGCCTTTGCGGATGGGAGCAGCAAAAACGGTTGCAGCTACTTTCTTGTTGTGATTGCTACTACGCAAGATGTAGTGTGGTTGCCCATTCCCTTGCGGGTGTTTTCCCCTGTCCCTGTGGCATGGTCCCCCTTTTTTTTGGTATGGTATACTATATTATATTAAATTATATATCATATTATATATTATATATTATACATTATATATTATATATTATATATTATATATTATATATTATATATTATATACTATTATGTGTCATGCGCTACGCCTGCTTGGATCCGTCGGCTCCGAGCATCCCGGGGCTAAGGACTCACCCCTTGGCTGCCTAAAGTTCAAGAGTGCTGTCTTAGCTTTGTTGCAATCCAACGTGGCACATAAAGGCTACTGCACGAATCGGTTCTGTCGCACTTCAAGACGTCCTTCCAGCCAACTTCTTCTGCTTGCTGCCAAAACCCATCTCTGTGCGCCTGCACATACTTTGCATGGCAAGAACGTTTGTCACGTCTCATTTGCCGGCGCCATCAACCGAGATTCGGGGAGCACGGTTCGGGAGTGATGCAATGCGACGTATGCTAACCCGGCACTTGGCTGCTACGAGAAAAGTGAGTCTTGACTCTGGCTTTGTCATGCCCCCCTTGTTGAATCTTAGATTGCTGGATTTGGCAGGGGCATGTGGCCCCCTCGAAGGCTCGTTGCTGATGTCGTCTTGATTGGTGCGACAGATGAAGCAATGGCTCCCTTCTTGCAAACCGAAGAAAACAAACGAATAAACGAGCTGTCTAGCATTGTTTCCGAACACAACCAGTTCCGTCGACCATTGGTCATCATGAAGCTCTTGCCAGTGTGTGCATCTGCACGCGTGGGTGCGCCCGCGTATAAATCTGCGCACATTCTGGAAAAAACAACCCAAACCAAGAAAGCAACCAAGCTAAGAAACCCCCTCTTACTCATATCAGACAGGGAAGAGCCTGAGCCGCAAACTAACTTTGTCCCGAAGGCAACAGGGATATACCAAAGTATACCTAAAATTGTAGGGGGCTTATTATTATTGTTGTTGTTAGTATCA